ACAACAAAGAGACACAACAAGACAACAAAGAGACACAAGACAACAAAAAGAGTGTAAACAACTATAAAGTCTGCGTCTTACTCCGGTGTAGGAGAGGTGGTGGGCCCATTGTCTCATAACCCGCCCATGCTTGAGGGGAGATTGTTTTTACTGTTTCTATGATGACGAAGGAATTGTCAAGCTCGTCATTGAAGCTGTGTTTTGTTGCTACCCGATGTACCAACACCTTTCAAAGACACGGAGATGTTTTTGTTCCTATAGAGTAGTAGTTTGTCAGCCATGTTCCCTCACATCAACAAGCAGACATTTCGGCTGCGGCTCTGTCCTTGCAGAGTTTGACATGTACTCAGTATATATATTCTAATATTCTAATGGGATCTTATCTCACTTAAGATACGTGCATGTTGGCTGAAGTATTAGGACTCCTGCCATCGCTTATGCAAGACACTGGCCTCAGACCTGCTTCTTTTAAAACTAATTAATTAATTAAACTAAGTATTTCCCCATGAAGTTAATGAAGTAATGACAAAAAAAAAGCTCAAACTTAAAGAAAAAAATCTTTCATTTGAAAGCGGACAATAATTGGCCCGTAGAGCAGGAGTGTGGAAATCCAGGCTTACTTCCTTTTGCACTGGATTACTATTAGCGTGCTTGTAATCCTCCCTGTTATCCAATGACACGCATCCTGCTCTTCCACACCCTGCACATTGTTCAATAACCCCCCCCCCCCCCCGATAGTGAGCAGGACAGGGCGTCTGAGAGGAGCGTGAACCTGTCTCCTGGCTCATCCTCCTCAACTTTCTTTCCTCTAATCTAACTTTAATTGCTCAGCCTCAACTTTACTTTACCTGAGCTGCTTGAGAGCAGTTCTGCTCCGGTTGGCCCCACACGCTGCCCGCAGGGCCCCCGCACGAAAGGTAATTTGTTGATGAGGTGCTTACTCACCCAAATCAATTCTTCCCCTTTCTTCACATCTCCTCCTCCTCCTGTCTCCTCCGAGGACTGACACATGCATCCTTTTTCACTGGCTACAAAAAAAGGACGTAGTCATTACAGTCGGCATGTGAGAACAGGAGCAGGGTCTGACTGTGGAGCCGGCTAATTGAGCTCGGATGATTGAGTAGACACAGGTAGGCACTGTGTTTGAGTACGTTGTCCCCCCCGTCTCTCTTCCGTGTGGATGAGCATGAACAACAGGGCAGACTCTTTTACCCCTAATCAAGCTAATGGAGCGGTAACAAGCCGGTGGGTGAACTAAATGAGCAACGACAGGTAGAAGGGCCTCCAGGGCATGTGGGGGGGAGGGTTTAGGGAGTCAGGGGGGAGAGACTGAGTGGCAGGACACAAGATGATAAAAAGGCCCCGGCTAGTCCCATCAGATCCATTAGCAGGTGGTTCAGGTCTGAGGAGCGTTCAGGGACGAGTGCTGCGGTTCTTGTTATCAGCCACACCGCCAAAGAGTGACTTCAGAGCCGACACTGCAGGCGTCAGACGGGCTGAACTGTCGCATGACATTTGCATTTCATTGTAGAAATCCAACAGTTAACAGATGAGCCAGCAAAGACAGAAGTCACTATGGTGAGTGAATTCTGCTTCACTGCTTCTGATAGAGTGCTGTTGTTTACCTGTTGTTTACCTGTTGTTTACCTGTTGTTTACCTGTTGGCTCAGCTGTTGTGGAATATTAGTGTGATGTCCAAATTTCCTTTTTTTTTTTTTTTAAACGTGACATGATCAAAAGCATTTGGTGAGATTTTTTCACCCCATCTGCTGTTTCCGAGGTCAAGAATGGACTTTTAAAGCTACATCTTTGACCTTTTAACTGTATTTAAATGTCCTTTTATGTTTCTTTTGCACTTTGTCTTTTCGTGTTTTGAATCTGTTGTCAAAGATCCACCTGTTAATGTGACCAAACGCTCTAGAACACCTACTGAATGGATCTTGTGATGAGATTTCGGTTTACATGTAAAAAGCCTGTGGAGCACTTTGTTTGAACGCGGCAACGGGATTTACTGCAGCTCTCACAAACCTTGTGCGATAGGGGCTGGAGCTGAGGGCCACTTGGGCTCGGTACTGAGGGCGCGGTACTGAGGGCGCGGTACTGAGGGCTCGGTACTGAGGGCGCGGTACTGAGGGCTCGGTACTGAGGGCGCGGTACTGAGGGTAATATATTGACCACTAATTACTTTAATTCTGGCCGAAGTTGTGTCAACACCAGCTATTTTGTAAAGCTTGTCAATCTCTGTGTGGTCTCTTAAAGCACTGGGCTGTCATCAAACTTGCAGCTGTGAAAGTATTTATAACGCTCACCGACCTTTGACTCTACAGTGAAACAGTCACTGAGGGAAAATAAGGGGAGCAATGCAACCTCAGGGAGCTCATTCTGCAGGTTAATATCCTTATTTTTTGTTTGATTTGGATTCAAATACGTAAATCTTTCAAGAGAAGAATCACATTTTATAACTTTAAGCACAGAATGCGTTGTTATATTTCAATAACAGTTCATTTATTCAGCATAAAGTCCTCGAAATGCTTCGTATCGTGTTTGCCAGACTGGGACCAGTTTACGGAACTAGATCTTGTACGGGACGTCCTGACTGTGGCGCTCTAGTTGTCAAATGTCTTGTTACCATCAAGATGGGAATTAAAGTCAGATTAACGTCACACGTCGGCTTATTAAACAGCAGCATCAGCTGCAGACAACCCAGATCCAAGTCCACCTGGGGTCTATTTTCCTTGGAGGTTTGTCTAAAACCAGCCGAGTGTTAAACAAGCTCAACTTCAACAGCAGAATCTCATTAACAACATCTACAATAAACAGTTTATAACATACATGTAGAAGCTTATAATAAGTGACACACACAAGAAGGCTAGTTTAGTATCATCTTGAATGAGACAGAACAGACCTCAGAATGCATCTGTGGTTCAGAAAGCCACAAAATATTACTGATAAGAACACTCCTTTTCTTTTTAGTCCAAGGCCTGGAGCTGGTTGGGATTCTGTCTCTGCCCTGCTTTAGTGCCCTTGAGCAAGTCACTGACACCTTTCCAGCCTATTTTAAACCTTTTTTTTTTTTTTTTTTTACCTGAAGCTTAAAACCCCTCTTGAACACACCAGGCTTTAAAGAAAAGTGCTTGTGTTGTGTTGCCTCTCTGACCTCCAGGAGGCCTGGACTGCTGCTCTTCCTGCTCTGGATCTCTCTGCAGCCAGACTCCCTCCACCGGGCGTCAGCCGTCAAGCTGCGGCACTTCATCGGCTGCGCTGTCCGGGAGTTCACCTTCCTGGCCAGGAAGCCCGGCTGCGGGGGGGTGCACGTCACCACCGATGCCTGCTGGGGGCGCTGTGAGACCTGGGAGGTAAGCAGGGGGGGAGGGGGGGGGAGACAGGTTACTGTACACACAGAGAGGAGAGGTGACTCAAAGCTGACATCTTTACACAAGAAGAAGATTAAATGTAGTAAATGAGTCAGGGAATCAAATACACAGAGAGAGAGAGACACATGTACAGAGACAGAGATGTGAGATCCCCACGGGGGGGGGGTCCTCTTTCCTCCCTCAACATGAGGTCAGAGCAAGGTCCCACATACAGCAGATAGATGCATGAATATTAGAACAGACACATCCATGTCAGACGTCTGAAGAAAAGCCCATTCTGTGTTGATAATAACTGACTCTTTCGTCACATACTCATAGATGAGTGACATCTATAAATCTTGCATAGGGTCGGAGGAGGACAGGAGGGCTTGTGGAGCAGCTCGCACTGAAAATTGAGTTAACGTTCTGCAAGAATGAGAAAAAGGCGGCGGTGGAATCCAGAGATATTAATGCCTTCTTAACAATGCCTCAAGTGCATAAACGACACAGGATTTCATAAGTTGCCGCATACTGATTACAAAAAGAAAAGAAAGAGAAATGCTGCGGAATCTCCAGTTTCATCTGGTGCATTGTATTCAGTGACAACAGGCATTAGGAGGCTCATGACTCTCTCTGCTTTGTTATTGCGGTGGAGCCGCTGCTATGTGCAGGAGGCCCGAGCTGAGCTTTGTGATACCCTTTGGATTCCCCTCGGGGGGGGGCACTCATCCCCCCCCACCCCCACCACCACAGGGAGGTCAGGACACAGTAGAAGGAATCAATGTCTCGCTTTAAGGACAAACAGGTTAGGGGGGTCTCTAACTACAACTACCGGGCTTCAGGATTTACAACCTCCACCTTCTGTGCACCCAAGCTATGATAGAGAATTTTAAATGACTGCAACAGCAGAATTAGATTAAATCCCTGGAACGCAGACACTACAAGCAATTAATAGGAGCTTTGCAGATGTGTCACAAACCTCCCTCCAAACACAGCGTCACCGGAGCTTCACTGTGTGCAAATTACGATGAGCAAAACAAATGACTTCATTTCAAAAATGAAAAGTCTAATGAGGTGGATTTGTTTCCATGTCGGGTTACTGTGACGTGAGAAATAGTCATTAAAGGTAAACTGGTGAAGCTTTAGACCACTAGAGGTGCTGGAGAGCAGGTTCCCTGATGAGCGGGAGATCTTTTATGTGCTCTGAAAGTTTAGTTTATTACGGCCGTTTTAGATATATATAAAAAATAATAAAGCTTACTACACCGCGTCTTTTTAAATGGTTTTGTACAGTCCATTTTAGATTCATACACAGGAAATTACAAAAAATAAATAAAATGTGTGATTAAAGTCCCAAACAAAAATAATTGTATTTGTTATTTTATATATTAATGGTGCAGTTAATATATGGGAGCTATAAATCTTTAATACGGCCCCCCCAGCTAGTTTCACACCAAATTCTGTAGAGAAGAATGAAATGTCCAGAACCAACATCAACAACAACAGAGCATTATCAAAGTTTAGGAGAAAAGGTTGTTCAGACTACTTTGTTGTCCGTTTGTATGAGCAGAAGCCCGTCCTGGACACGCCCTTCATCGAGTCCTACCAGAGGGTTTGTACCTACAACGAGACGCGTCTGGTCTCTGTGAAGCTGCCCAACTGTCTGCCAAACGTGGAGCCCACCTTCACCTACCCCGTGGCCCTGAGATGCGACTGTGGAGTCTGTCTGACCAGCACCACCGAGTGTATAACATCTGTCTGACCAGCACCACCGAGTGTATAACATCTGTCTGAACAGCACCACCGAGTGTATAACATCTGTCTGAACCAGCACCACCGAGTGTATAACATCTGTCTGACCAGCACCACCGAGTGTATAACATCTGTCTGAACCAGCACCACCGAGTGTATAACATCTGTCTGAACCAGCACCACCGAGTGTATAACATCTGTCTGAACCAGCACCACTCTACACAATTCATTAGTGGTAATATGATAATTACATGATGGGCATCAATGCTAATGCTTAAAGTACACTATAAGGGGTTGTGGGGGAGGATAACCCTTTTTTAGATGTTTAGATTTATAGCAACAAAGTTAGAGTCTGTTATGACTTAATAACCCTATAAATGTTAAGTTGAGCTACATCTTGTGCACACATTATATTGCTATTCAAATTATACATATTTACCCCGGTTTACATTTTAAATTACTGCCGGGAGAAATCTGAAAGAAAAGGCCAACTGCTTAAGTTTCGATTTGCTCTTAAAATATATATTTAGCAAAAAACAGGAAATCTTTGTTTGTGCTCGTATGTTTTGTTGTTCTATTCTGCTCGCAACTATTTTATGTTTACTTTTTAGAAATGTGATCATATCTGATTTTTCGGTAAAAGATATTGTTTAGTAAATATAATTCTCCCTTTGTCTCTTATTGTTTTGTCACAATTCAATATTCTTTCAGTTTAGTATAGTTGGAATGAGTTGGTTATGTAGTGTGACTTTTCATTCACCGTAAATGTAAATCATGCAAACTAAACTAGTAACTCTGACCGTCACATAAAAGAAGTAAAAGGTCAAATAGTTCCATTTAACATGAAGCAGATTCTCCTTTGTTCAAAATACAACAAAGAAATTGTTAAATTATTTCCATGATTCCACAGCTGCAAAAACAAAATGCTGTGTTTAGAACTTCCAGCCAGCAAAAGCGAGTTAATCAATCAACCTTCGCCCACGCCGCCTCCGTCCCACTACATGTCAGCGGTAATAACAGCGATGACGATCAAAAGGCAGCCTGTTATCTCTGGGGAAATCCTCTCCGCAGAAGCTTCGTCGTCCTCACAGATCCTCCTCCTTCAGCCTCACGTCCCCGTAGGAGCGGCTGTATAATTCATGACCACGGTTGGTACCCGTCAGGCTGTTTCAGGGCAGTGGAGGGGAAGTTGCACTTAACCTGGACTTATACTAGTGAAGGAAAGAAGGAATCTGATCCTGTTTCAGTGACCTAGACTTACAGTAGTGGCCTGGCTTTTATGATTGGCCTGACAGGTGTCATATGGATGTATTTCAGGTGTGTAACTGCCAGGCTGATACAACAATAGAGAGTCGAAGCCCCTCTACTTCTGGTGCCCCCCTTATTTCAGAAAGAAATGTCCAGAAGTCAACGACAAAAGACAAATATTTGTTGGATCCTGATTGAATTCTGCCATAAATTACACATATGTTTGTACATTTAAAAGATCATTTTTGCACGTCAAGAAAGTCCCAAATTGTTGTAGCTTTGTTGTCGTACTATTTATGGCTCAGTGAAGTACATCTCTCGTTAACAACATGGCCGTTCCGCATCGGTTAGCTTGTCTTGCTAAGTGTCTTAAAACTTGTTTTCTCTCTACTGACCAGCAGGGGGCGACTCTTCTGGTTGCAAAAAGAAGTCAGATTGTATAGAAGTCTGTGAGAAAATGACTTATTACCCCAGTTAACATTGTAAACATGAGTTCATGGTCTCAATCTGAAATAGATGAATGCATGTAAATATAAGCTGGTTTCACCCTGAATAAATGGTCTCCGATGAGTCATTGGCTCCCTCTGAGCTCCCAGCGGAGGTCATAGACCTCAGGTTAGAAACCTCCGTTGATGGTTTCATAGTACCCCCCCTTCTACAGCTGAAGGAGGAAGTGGTAAAGTCAGGAACGATTATGGCAGCGGGGGTCATCACAGCGACTCTCCTGTCAGGGTTGTTGAAGATAACGGAGGTCTCAGGAGAGCCAGCTGTCCAGACAGCTAACCTCTCCTCCTCTTATCCTTGAAGGCCTCTTCAGGACTCACACACACACTGCTGTCTGCTTGTGCATTTCCCTCTTTTTATAAGAGTAGACAATAAGGCTCTGTTCTGCAGGAAAACACAATTCACAATTCTGTTTTTATACACGTATATATATATATATATATATATATACACACACACACACACACACACACACACGCACACACACACACGCACACACACACACACACACACACCCCATTTCTCTCTCCTGCCCGGATACACACTCACTTCCTTTCAGAGGATTCAGTTATTGGTGAGCAGTGCGATGATGAAACAGAAGCCTTGTGGACTTCAACAATAAAAGACGTGCAGTTATTTACAGAACGATCAAATGACCATAATTACAATAAACGCTGGAATTAGTGAAAAGCACTGATTTTAATTTTAGCCACAAACAAAAGGTTCAATTATAACAACACTTTATTGTATTTGTCTCCGTTCTTCAGCCCACACGGGGCCCACACGGGGCCCCTCAGGGATCAATTAAATTTGCACACCACACCTCGTCTTGTGTGAATATTTTGATTATTGAATCCCTTCAAAGAACAGAACATCCAAGATTCTCCTTTAGTGTTCCTGATGTTTGATTATCTATTGATCCAGGTTTGCTGTTTATTTAATCACAATATAATAATGACAGCGGTGGGATGGCGTTCAGTCACTTCTGGTTGGTACTTGCACTGTATGAGCCACAATAAATGCCAGTTTCCTAGTTAACCGTGTGATCCACAGCTTGAAGCTGCTCGAGCTGTGTGGATATTCTTTACCCTCAGATTACCACCACCACCTGGTGAGTTCCTACTCTCTCACAAGAAACAGGCATTTCAGTAAAGATTCATCAGGAACAAATAGGTGGTTTGGCAGAGAGGATACAATAGCTTGTGCAGCGAGCTTGCAAGTGACCCTCATGGTGACGGAGAAAGTGTTTTTGAGGGAAAGAGCAGCTTAGTCCTCCGGAGACCAGGATGGATTATTTTCTTCATCTTCAGATTCAATTTAGAATATGAGGAGGAAGACTCCAGGAGGAGACATTTTCTGTTAACAGTCTAATTTCTCCAAAGGCCTCAAACTGATTTTTCCTACAAAATAATTAAAGGTCGCTCTATGAGCTCCAGGCCCCAGTGTTCCCTCCACTGATATGGAGAGCAGCTGAAGGGGGAAAGGAACTGAAGTCTCCAGTCTGGAGCAAAACACGTTTCATCCTCATGGAGCTCTGAAGGGTAAACCGCTGTGATATCAAAGAAGCAGACACATCAAGAACATAACTGACTTTCAATGGACAAAATGACGAAAGCAGCTGACGCTCAAACCAACTCCATAAAGATCAGATGAAGCATTGGAACTCTTCAGTGATTCGTTGTGATGAACTGTTTACATTTACAGCTGCATCTGTGAACCCCCTTAATATTGTGAGTCCTGTTTGTAACATTACCGGGACTCTGCTGTCCTCTGTTGTCCTCTGCTGCTGGTGGTGGAACGGCTTCAGGGTGAATGAACCCTCAGGTGGCTCCTTTACATGAACTGGAGAGAAGAAGGAGAGACTGTCCCAGTTTGGGTCTGATGAAGTGGAACGGCATCGCATCGACTACTTGTTTTGTTTCGCATTTTTGATGTGAGAGTTGTATTAAGCTGTATTAATCTTACCTCATCTTCTGGTGCATGAAGTTTCCCCGAATCTTTCATAATTTAAATCTTATTCATCAGTGTTTTGGACGATGCCTCTCACCCCCTGAACGCCACACTGAAGTCATTGCAGACCGTCGAGGTGCAGCACAGAACGCCGCAGGAAGTCTTCTCTACCTGTGCTCATCAACCTGTACGACTCCTCCCCCTTCTGCAGGAGGGACAGCTGAAAAATCACCTACAACAATAATAACCACACCATGTGCAATAGTACGCTTCAATTTCATGTGCAATGTTATTCTTATTCATCTTTTATATTCATATAACTGACAATATCTCCCTCAATATTACTTTACTATTCTAGTTTCCACTGAGCGCCGTTAGCATCCCTTCTTATACACTTTATATTTTACTCTTGTATTTAATCTTTTTAGTGGAATTGTTTAACTTTATTTTTTACTTTTTTTGCACTGGTGTCAGTATTATTTATTTTACACTTAATAATTGTTGTATTGTTCATAAATGTATATTTTGACTCTACTGTTCTTTGTTATTCTTCTCTTGTAATCTCTAATGAGACGTTGGCACAAGAGTTTCCTTTGGGATTAATAAAGTCCTCTCTTGTTTTAGTGTAAGAATGAAGATTTGAATATGCTTGTAGTTATGTTATCACAAAAGACTCAATGAGCCATTCTTGGTAAAAAAACAAAAAAACAAACGTGATGTTAGATGCTTGTAGAGGACTCTAAAAAATCTAAAATAATCGTTTGTTCTCGACCTTCTGTGGGACTTTCCTCGTCACTTTCTCTTTGCTTCGTTGGGTCTCGCTCCTCTTCAGGAACTCATTTCTTTGTCTCTGTTTCACTCTTTCAGCAACTAGAAGAAAAAATACTGCACATAATTTTTCCTAAATTTGAGACATTTGAAGTTGAACTGTAATCATTTTACCCAAAGTGTAACATATTTCTAGTTGAGCTGTAATGCTGTTTTTGAAACTCGTCGACTCCCACAGAGGTAATAACTTCTCGATCAACACTAAAAAGAAACAATTCTGTGGTAAACGGGCTTCAAAAGCACCTTCGCTTCGACGGTTTACTGCAGCGAGAGAAATCCTTTTCCAGCAGCAGCAATTAAATATGTTTTCCAAGAATCTGCCGGCACATCCCGAGCTGACGGGTGAGAAAGTTTGTCTCCTCGTCTCTATTTGAGGAGACCTTAATGGGGATAAGCATGGCGGCACAGCTCCAACTGTTTTCTAGAGACAGCGGAGGCTTCATGTGTCCACACAGAGCTGCAGGTGGAGTCTTGACGGGT